ATTTCTTAGCAACAAGGTGTTGGGTCTTTTCTCCAGTAACAGTGCAAATACTTTTCACAAGTTTCATACCGCCTGTCACAAAGGTTTTTTCAGGATTTATTGCTACTGTTTGAAAAGCATATCAGGGTCTGCTGTTGAAATAATCTGCAGAATCGGCAGAGCCCATTTCATGTTAACATGAATCTCCCGGCCATGATCAAACGTAAAGGAGAAAATCTTACACATTACTTTATTAACAGTTTTGGAAATAAAGAAGTCAAGGGTCCTTGTCTAGTGCTACTCATGTCAAGAAACTAAACTACAAGACTCTGAAGCTCACTGGATCTTTGCTGGAAAATTATTTTAGTTATAGCTCAGAAAGGTATGACAAGGCTTCATCATCAGAAGAAACATACAAGACCTAAAAACGTCTATATACAACAGTTAGTATCATTGACATATGAATAACTTGCTATGTAGAGGGCCAAAATCACCATGCCACCATTGGTAGCCACAGCAGTACATTTATGTTCAAGTTGTGCCAATTATGGCACAAAATACAGCAAAATATTGTATGGGTTATTCGACATACCACAAAATTCATAAAGATGCATATTTAGGAATGGTTAAGAAATTGGCTAAATTTCAATTTCAATATGGCTGCTATGGTGATCCTTTTCAAAACTGGATAGGAATTACATGAGGTCCGAGACATCATAGCCGGGATTATCAATGCAAAGTTTCAGCTTCACCATGGTTATTGACCTTGTGGTTACAGAGAGGACGCATAAATGTAAAAGTTAAAATCAAATGCTATACTGATGGACATATAATGGACGCTGCACAACGATATAGGCTCACTTGACCTTCATCCCCAAGGCAGATGAAATAAAATCCAAAAACCTCCAAAGATTCTAACAAATATTGTTATTTATTATGTCTGAACCTTCTCGATCAAATCATGTACATCACTCTACAAGCATGGTACATGATTTGAACATGCTCAGTAAGGTAAACATCACGAGACTTGTATAATCATAAATATGAAAATTATGTGTATCACATTATTAAGATATTGCATTTATAACTTAATTAGGTTTGTTTTTAATAAAACATTTAAGCTAACACATTCATCAAGTCCAGATTAAGCACCAAGGAAGCAAAAACAATTTGGCAATTTTCGGAAATTTTAAGATTTCATAATAGAGCTATGAACTAACATATTTCTTTTCTATTTTCGTTGTTAAAGTAATCGGAAAATAATGATAAAAAGTATTTTAAGTATGATCTATCATCACATATTTCCCGATAATAGTGGCTTCCGCTCAGTGACATGAGGAAATACCTCCGTTTTCAAAGCTTTGTAATAGGCAAAGATTTGTTCGATGTTTGGTATCGTTAGAAAGCTCTGAACATAAATATTATTACAGTAACCTCGGCAGTAGTATTTTCGTAGTTGTAACGTGATTTTATTGGATATATATTGGTTTCAAGTGACGCTTTCGTCGTAATCTAATATAAATATAGCGATTGTCAAAATAAAGCACATGACCAAAGGCAGCCGATCAAATTACAGCAATGGATACCGTCCTTGAGTATGACAAAGTTCAGATTTAGACGAAAGTCCTTGGTTATATCGTGTAATTTTGAACGTTTTAAGCACGAAATTGAGACCTATGTTTAAAATATGGAACTAAGTAGACATATTGTGCTAGGTAACGACCTGTGACAAAGATTTCTCATTCATATATTTTGGTACTAAACACTGTGTTCGAGCCTAAAAATCGAGGCAACAAAAGCCGAAACGTGACTTACAATATACGGTCACGTGAAAAGATGGAAATAGTAACTTAGATGTAGGGTTGACAATTTTTAGAAATGTCTGTTCACTTTATTTCTTATTTTCAGTATTTGAATTATGATTTGCTTGAAACGTCTTTATACAGCTCTTTGGGATATTTGATATGGACCCTTTGTCGAAGCATGTGTCCAGATAATTTTTTTATCACTCACATTGCGAGAAATAGTTCATAATTTTAAATCTATTGAAAAAATATGATAAATTGAAATGAAATACATATTTTCTGACTTAGTGAGTATGCTTTTACACCACTTTTAGTAATATTCCAGCAATATCATGGCAGGGGACACCAGAAATGGGCTTCACATACTGTACCCATGTGGGGAATCGAAACCAGGTCTTCAGCTTGACGAGTGAACGCTTTGACCACGAGGCTACCCCACCGCCCCGTCTGACTATGTGAAAAGTGATAGATTTAATAAATGAATGATACGAAAGTTAGGTTCATGAAACTATATACCGGTATATTATTTTGACGTGGCTACGGTGTGGCCGGTACACCAGTCTGCGTTGTTGAAGGAGTTAACAAGCGGAGTACTTTGAAGCTGGACCCCATTTCACCAAGCAATAGCTGTGTTGATTCATTTACCATGTCTTCTTTTGGTTTGGTTTGTTGTTTAAGGCCGCACTCGGCAATATTCCAGCTATATGACGGCTGTCCGTAAATAATTGAGTCTGGACCAGACAATCCAGTGATTAATATCATGAGCATCGATCCACACAATTGGGATCAATGACATGTATCAACCAAGTCAGTGAGCCTGACCACCCGATCCCGTTAGTCGCCTTTTACGACAAGCATAGTCACCTTTTACGGCAAGCATGGGTTGCTGAAGACCTATTCTACCCCGGAATCTTCACGTGATTTACCATGTCCACAGCTTTAAATAAACTGAAAAATGTAAAGGCCTGCTGAAATTGAAAACTATCTGCCCGAGAACAAATCTGTTGGCCTCGGGCCTACGGGCTGATGTCTTTCGAACACTGGGTAAACCACCTGACCCACTATTTCACCTGTGACCTAAATGTTTTATCACAGCTGGAAATAGACGTCAAGAAAGACATATTTAAATCAGGTGTTTCTTCATTTTCACCTACAAACTTGGAGTGAGTTAAGCTTCATAATCACATGGGCAGTATTTTAGCCACATTGGGACGAAAACAAGCTGTCCATTAATAATACATAAATTTAGACTATATAAAAGCTGTCAACAACGGACATTAAGACAACAAGAGTATTACAGATTTTTAGTTAAAACTGGCATGGTATGATAAATGGGTATGACATTACATAACACAAGATAATGGGCTATAGACCAAGGAGACATATGGTACTTCTGCTACCTACATGGTGCCTTAACCGACAATAATTATTTACCTGTTTACAGGTATGCTACTATTAAAACTATGGTAGGAAGAAATTGACTTTGTATGTGGTCTTATATACTCTCTCGGGGGAACAGTCATTTTATGCTACTACAACCCCCATTGAGAGAATACAAACTCAAAATGACTGCAACAAACATCAGCCCAAAACACCATCTGTGTTAGAAATTGTACAAAAAACTACCTACAGCCCCCAGTTCGAAGCACAGTAAATTTCAGATCAGTCTTAGCTAATAACATAAATAAACATGGGATAACACTAAAATGTACAAAAATGAAGCTGAGAGCCAAGTTTCGGCCAGTAGACTTAAAACTTTTAGGCATGTGCTGAGCATAATAACTCTCCAATTTATTTTCTAGGTTGTTCATGGATGAAAGTTTGTGTTTTCTCGCACTTGAGTCATTCAAGCATGCTTAAAGATTACAACATAGTTTTCAAATATTTTCATACTTAAACATGTTAAAGTGGAATAATATCATTATCTAATGAAGATAATAACACTGTTCAGGTAGAGGACAAGACAACAAGACAAAACAATTGACAAACACAACATGCACATGCTGAATACTGAAGAGAGACATTCAGCAACTACCTCCGACATGTAGGACATAAGCAATTGACATAAAGTATCTTCAACTGTCCACCAGCTGAATCATCTATCCGTTTGCAGTGTTCAAAATGAAGGGGGGTTCTTGGGCCCTTGAGGTTTGCCCCCTATAGTATCTGAATGTAGGGAGCCCTTAAATATTCAACTTTTAGAATTAGGGCAATGAAAAGGGCCCCTTGACTTTCATGCTTAATTTTGAACACTGCCAATATCATCACAACCAATCTAACATGTGTCAGAACTTTACGAACATGTCAACAATACTGTATATTACAGTACAAAATTTGACAGCATATAAAATTACCATAATATACAGCGAAAATCCATTAATCCGAAAAGTAGCTTTCCCAATGAAATCTTTCAGATTAAATAATTCCAAAATTATGTATCGAGGATTTAATTGGTTTGATGAATGTTCAGATGGTTTGGCCAGTGGACAGTTTGGGTAATGCTGGGTGTAATCTAAAATCTATATCTCTAATCTCACCTAGTTCACATGCTTCTAAACATAAAGTATGTTGAAAGTACTTATCATGCTAGTTGAACACTGAACAGAAACCAAAAACAATATTATTCTTATAAGAAGAATTTATTACTTGGTAAATAACTGAGAAAAAATATGAAGAGCATATGTGGTTACCCACTTTTAATTATGCAACATCAGTTGTCTATATGATGCAATGGCAATAACTATAAATAGAAGAATTAACTATGTCATCTGTGTTCCTTGGGTAGAACTGTGCAATAGACATTATAGACTCTGTTATAACTAGCTTAATTACTTCTTCAGTATTGTTCAACACTGATTAAAAACGTGTGAATCTATATACAGGAGTCCATGCTAAATCAGGACTGTGATCGCTGTCCATATCTGAGCCTGTCCTAAACTGTGCTGCTCACATGTGTATAATCACTGTGTACACGCATGGCGCTAGTATTGAATGAAGGGTATTCGCTATATGTAAGTCAAGTTCATTTGACACATGAAAAACTCGTAAAGGTCACACAACAGACATTGAGATTGATCACGGATAACAACATTGCATGTGCAGTCAAGAGAGGGAACATGAAGGTCGTTGCAAGACAGGTGAGGGAGAGGGGATGCAAGCGGTCGTATAGGAGGGGAAAGCTTGTTATTGCATGCAGTTTGCGGTGAGTTTTACAACCTTCTTGGGTGATTCGCACTCAGCACGTTTGGGGATAGGCCATAACTTGGAAACAATCTCCAACTTAATGCCCTGCAATAACAAAGTCAGTTCAAAAGTTACAACAAATAAGGTTTTCTTATTTCATGCATCAAGAAGGATTTAGTTGTAGCTCATAATTCAATTGACATTCATCTTACATTCGCACACCAAAACATACCGTGTCTTTACCCGCCATGTTTTACGTCGAAGGTGAAGGTTATCACGTGAATTGTGCGTTTTCATTGGTTACCGCGTTTCCTTGTCCACGTGCAACCGTTCCCAATAACCCGGAAGTAAATGGTCGTAGACACCGGATGTACCTTCAAAACACACGCGGGAGTGGAGAAAAGAAGACAAAAATGGCGGGTAAGTGTCAAATCAGCACTGATATCATAAATTGTGAGCAGATGAAGAGTGATTACAACACAAACAAATGTCAAGAGTGTTTTTTAGGCCATTGTCATCATTATTAGTATTTTGCAGCCCAGTAAACAGCAAAGACGAAGGCTGTAATTTACTGCAAATATTTCAATACTCAAGCTGCGCATATAAAATGTAAACACTTAAAACAGTGATGTAATAAAATGTATGCAATTGTAAATATCTCGAAAGTTATGACATACTGTAAGTGCACGATCAGTATTCGTTTTTATCCAAAGTAATTGTATCTCTTTCCCCGTTTACTATTCGCGAGAAATATAAGATCTAGCATCGCTGCATGTCTAGATTCGCAGCATTTTTTTTGTTTTGGTTGCTATCCATGCCAACGTGTGAACACCCTATTACTTACTAATGATGGTATTTGGACAGACTTGTTTCAGTGATTTGTTTTTGTTATCATATGAGTCAAGAAGTGTTTATATTTTAGGGCTTGTATTATCTATAAGCTAGTATACAATGATGTACACAACTGCAGCATTGTGGTTCTGGATAATATCAAAGAAAGAAATATCAGTTTACTTATTTTTGTTTACGTAATTGGATAGGACGTCACCGGTTCTGTGTGTTTTTAAATCATGCATGAAATAATTGAGTGACATGACATGCCTGATTCGATTCTCAAACCAAAACAATAGAGCTCGGCACAGTGAAGCTGACAACGCAAGCGCTGCGCAGAGTAAACTGGCTTCAGTCTTGTTTTTTATGGAGGCAAATTGAATAGTAAGCATGGTAAGCTTGTGTAGGTTTTTTTATAGCTGAGTTACAAAGTACAAATTGTCAACTTTAGCGTTTAGTAGATTAGCACCCAGTGTTTGACAAAGCCTAGATTACAATTGTAAATATGCCTTGGTCGTATGGCACCAATCAGTCTCCGACTAGAGTTCCTTACGTCAAGCCGAATACATACCTCTGTCACATCTTACAGACCATTCATGTGTTTTTTTATCTACACATTCAGATAAACATTCTCATGAAATGTTTTACTTTCGTTAAGAAAATATCCTTAAACATAAAAACTAAATCCATTTGCATATATATGCTACTTGTGATATATGCTCTCACTGTCGCAGTTGTAGATGTATATCTACAATTTGTAAAAGCGCACTGAAAGGCTTGCATAAGGCCTGTCTGTTCTTATTTTTGAATAAGTGCATTTGTTTACAAGGGGAAAGTCCAGTCACGTGATAGGCTTACACCCATGGTGTAGTCAGAAGAGCAGAAATGGAATAAGGCAAGCAGAGTAAGCTTGGGGTGATATCATCCATTGTGGACAAACAAAGCTTCAGAACGGTCAACGTCCTGTCCCTTTAAGGCTAAACTGTGTAGGGATGGATGTTGGCAGAACGGTTTGTGAAGTAGTAAAACCTTTCTGTGATAGTTTGTCATTGTCAAAACAATTTTATTTTGGACCAGTGATTTTTCTGTACTGTATGCCTAATGTGGGACTGATTGTGTTTGCTACCTGTAAAAGTTGCATGCAGTGTTTGATGATTCTTTCTGTACAGGTATGAGCTTACTGAAGAACAAATTTGAGTCGTACAAGTGTTCAGCAAATGATGTCATCCACTTTAAACTTGGTAAGATGTTCGGAAATATTCATATGCTGTCTTTTCCTGTAATATGATACTGAAATATTGTAAAGATTGTCCCTGCTATGGTGTCTCTAGAATTGATTAAATTCACACATTTTGAACATGTTAAAGTTAAATAGCTATAATCACCAGGTAAAATTAAGTTTGTCTTCTTTGCCCACTACTCAGCTGTTTGTAATAACAAAGTTTGACATGCAGTAAGTTTGCAGTACCATATTCTCCCTGCTCTAATAAGCAACCCTGGATTTTTGCAGATCAATCTTGTAAATGTTACTAATAAAATTAAATTGAGGGGTTAATTAATCTTCATTTCAGTACGTCAAGAATCAGACATATTTAGCGAAACGACAACATTCAAACCTGAGATGACCCACCAGCTGTTTGGGGATCAGTAAGTGAACCACAGTCTGTCCATATGTAGACAGCTTTGCTTGCATACACTCATAGATCAGATGTGTTAATTGTTTTCCTGATATGATACCTGCATCTCATCCATAGGTCTCGTCAGGCCTTCGAAATCACGGTTCAAGTGAACGTAGCATTCAGAGAGGCGTATCACATTTCTGTATAAAAAAAAGCAGGTGTGGTGTGGGGGAAAATTGTCTGGTTTTAATGAGATTGTGTCCGTCTGCTGGACCCAATCTGGCAAATTATCATCAAGGATACTGGTTGTGTGTATCTGCTGGTGTGTTCATGTATTGTATTGTGTAGTGCGGACAGAGTGTCAAAATTTTATGATTGATCAGGGTTCATTCTAGAGTGGAAATTAGGCTTAATGTTTCCTCTTTCTTAAAAATATATTATCAGAAGCTTAACCTATGTTTGCAACTTAAACATTATCGTCAACAATCTCCACTTGATACGTCACTATATTTGAACCGTCAGAAAAGTCTGCCAGGACAGCACTCTGAGAAGCAACCATTTGGGTGGCCAAATATGACTTAAATCGATGATTGGTGACCTAAATTTATCTACTGCTCACCACTTGGTTATCTAAAAGTCTTGGTTATCTACCTAAAAGTCAACATAACTGGTGATATCTGTTTAAGATATGTTGGCTCTTAAAAACTTAGGTTTGGCACCTAAGATCTTCATTTTAGGAGCTGCTTGGCTCCCTAACAATAAATGACCTAAGATAGCAGCAGGGTTTTCAGTGCCTGCCTGCATTAACGTTTGGCAGTACCCGAAAGGCTTGTGACATTGTCATCGTATCAATCACTGGTTGGTCTGATCCTGACTTGATTGTTCACAGGCCTCCATTATATATGTGCATGCTATGGCTGGAATTCTTTGTCCGATACATTATATTTGTTTTGCCAGAGAGAGTATATTTGGCTACAAGGACCTTGTGGTAGAGATGTTTTACAGCGCCTGCAGACTCTCAACCTATATCAGCATGAAGTACAGCGAGAAACTGACTCCAGACAAGATAGTGGATAGTGCTGCTATTTCCTTGCCACCAGTAAGAATACAAATTATTATCCAATCCTGACACAGAGCTACAGATAAGCAGATTATTTGTGTAAAATACCCCTCCCCCTCCTCCCCCCAAATATTCCAAACCCTTTCGATTAACTTGCGTACAGAAACGTATGCAATAAATTAAAAACTCAAATGTATGAGAACAGCACAAGTAAATACCCAATAAAGCTTTTCCAACATGCGTACAAAGGAGCTAAGTTCCGAAACACAATTACGAGCTAATTTACTTTACGAGTCAATCCTATATATTTGGAACAGTTACATACATCTAAAACATTTCATTTTATTTAAATCTTAAAATTTTCTCTAATTTTGGGAAAAACCCAATAGAGTGATGAATAAATGAGTGAAAAAATATTGGTTACCCAATGAAAAATGTAATAACCCAATTAAAGAAAGAATAGAAACCCTGGAGTAAAAACTCAATGGCTCAAAGTTATCTGGAGCTCTGCTGGCGCTCCCAGGATGAATGTGTGGTTTGACATTAACTTTAGCTTGAGGTATAAATATTACAATATTGCTGAGGGGATTTTATTTTAAACTGTTATATTAAAAAAGCATTTTAAGAATTTTTTCTACAAATCTTTACTGTTGAAATACTTAATTTTGACATAAGACCTGTATATTGGATCAATCCATGCTTGCCATAAGAGGCATCTATGTTTGTTGTAAGAAATGACTAACAAAATCGGGTTGTAAGGCTTAGTGACTTGCTTGATGTCTTCGTATCCCACATTGCAAAGATCAATGTTCATGATGTCAATCACTGGATTGTCTCTTCTCGATTTAATTATTTACAGACCACCATCGTAGAACTGGAATATTGCAGAGGGCAATGTTAAACAGCATACAAACAAATGAATAAATTGGGGAAAATAATCTCAACAATGCTCAGTGTCCTTTTTGACAAGTTTTATACACCTCATTATTGACATGGAGTTGATGATTTTAAACTTTAGAGGCTCCATTGTTGTATTGTTTGTTCTATCAACAAATGTCTAAAGTTAATCAGAATAGCTGCATGTTATTATTTTTTTCAAATATGTGTATATTGTCTTATTCATGTTATTAAAAGGGATAATAACTGACAATATTTGACAGAAGGAAAAAAATAGTCATTTAGATTTAAAACACCAGTTGTTGCTTATTTAACTCTGCTTACATGAAATCCATGTGTCTTTCAGCCAGACAATGTTCTGCCAACCCTCACCAAGGAGCTTCCCCCTGGGTTCTACACCAGCAGGGATGAATTCATCACTTCCCTGGCCAAAGATGCCAACTTCAAACCTTATGGAGAGAAACTGCATTCGTACACAGTCAATAAAGGTAAACATTCTTCTTTGTATTGGGTGTCACCGATGGCCTAAATTGTCACCGATGGCTCAAAGTATCACTGATGGCCCAAGGTGTTACGGTGTTACGGATGGCCAGAAGTGTCACTGATGGCCCAAAGTGTCACTGATGTGTTGCATAATGTGTTAGACTGTACTCAACAGTTAATGTTCATGTCACATTCTGCGTTTACAGACAATGTTGAACGTGAGTTTGAGATATACAAGACTGACATAGAAGCACCTGGTTTCCGAGACTTCCATGACAGACTCCAGACATTCATCCTCTTCTTCATTGATGCAGCATCTTACATCGATGTTGACGATGACAGATGGACCTACTATCTTCTGTAGGTTGCTGTGCTCTCCGTGTTTTTTCCGACACATTTTATATGTATTACTAAATATATATTGTGACCACTTTGTAAAGATATCTGGTTAACAAGGGCTTAGTATAAAAGATTATGTTTTTGATTAAACAATAATGTTTTTTATCATTTCCATGTTGTTTTTGTATGAGCTGAGAAATGTATTTCATTGTATCCCAACTGCGTACATCTATGCTCATGATGTCATTCACTGGAATGTCTTGTCCTGACTTAATTTTTGTACAGATGGCTGTCATATAGCTGAAATATTGCTGAGTGCCTCGTTAAATAACAAAACAAAGATAATAAATTATCTGGTTGATAAAAGTTCCAATTAAAGGTTTTTTTATTCTTTCGGACAAATCAGAGAACTCACCTACAGCCTTCTGATGTGGAACTTGTGGCTTTTTGCACTTGATATTGTTCTATATATTTCAAAGCCGACTCCTGATATAAAGTCTGTTTTAGAAATTGTATGCAAGATGCCTTTTTCTCTATTTTTTAAATTTCATTAAAATCATTTTGTAAATAAAAAAACCATGTAGCTCAAATTTGACAGATTAGCCTGAGAAACTAGAGTTATCTTCTCCTGCATGACCTTGTCCTTTCAGATTCGAGAAATACAAAACCAATGGGAACCCTATGTATGCCATTGTCGGGTACATGACAGTGTATAAATATTATGCTTATCCAGAAAAGATTCGTCCAAGAATCAGGTAAACAAATATAATGTTGTTTTTTTCTCCTTGTCAAGACCGCCTCTGTGGTCTAGAGGTAGGGCATCAGCTCGGAGAGCGGAAGGGCTGTAGTTCAATCCCCGGCTGCGTCATACCAAAGACGTGAAAAGATGGTACTTGTTGTTACCCTGTCTGGTGCCTGGCATAAAGGGGCTCAAACAAGGACGGGTCGGCTCGGAGTCAGTATACTGTGTCTGAGTGGGGTATTCATGTTCAACTGTGGCATGGTATCTCAGTGGCCTGGCACTATTTAATCGGCAAGCACATCACTATATAAGTGCAATAATCTTGGACACGACATTCAAACCACATTTCACCTCACCTCTCCTTGTCAAGATCATTGACTGAAAATAGTGTTTTTATCTCAAAATCGGTCTTTCAATGTCTGTATGTTTTGTTTTTAGATTTATGAATCAGTTTGTGTATTTCTGTGGCTTTCCCTATGGTGAATAATGAATTATGAGTAAATTTGTGCTCATAGAAATCCATATATCGACAGAATTGATGTAAAGTGGCAGATGTGGGTTGGTAGACAAGTATGCCTGTTCATATTTCCTCACCCTGCAATTCTAACCGTCAACAAGCTGATGTGACACATGGCATGTGTTCTATCATGACCACTGTGCTACTTTGCACAGTGCACTTGCTATAGTCCGATGGTGTGTTGCAGCCAAGTGTTGATCCTGCCGCCGTTCCAGAAGCAAGGTCATGGTGCTCAGCTTCTCCAAACCTTCTACAACAGCTGCTACTCAAGCTCCAACGTGCTGGATATAACAGGTATCTACACCACAATAGTACCCGTGAAGATCCGGGTTAGAATAGGTCTCCAACAGCTCATGCTTGCTGTAAGAGTGAGTGAGTGAGTATGGTTTTACGCCCTCTTTTAGCAATATCACAGCAATATCACAGCGGGGGACACCAGAAATGGGCTTCACACATGTCGGGAATCGAACCCAGGTCTTTGGCATGATGAGCGAACGCTTTATCCACTAGGCTACCCCCATCTCCCCGAGGCAAGAGAGTTAACTGACTTTATAAGTCTAGTTTCCACCCTTGCCGACCTAGGCTGGACTTCCTGGGCTCGATTGTAGCGCCACCAGTGGTTATTACGAGTTGTGTCCCTTATAAGCCTCTCCAATGGACCAATCAGATTCCACCTCTCGTATCACTTGCATTTGTTTTAAACAAAATGGAGGCGCCCAGTCAAGAGGATCTGATCGATATTCACGGGTCTTACTTCGTGAAGTGCATCAAATCACGTGAGCACCTTAATTAAAAACGTGAAAATATACGAGTTGGCGGTGGAAGTGGTTTGCAAATCCTGCAATCTACCGAGATCTGCATGACAGTTTACGAACCGGATTTTGATTTCATTGCGCGATTTTGATTGGACTATGCATAGACTCGTTAGTACAGCAAACATGTAACTCCATATTACCAGCTTAGTTCGGCAATTGTGGAAACTGGACTTTTAAAGTCAGTTAACTCTCTTGCCTCGGGGAGATGGGCTACACCTTGCTGTAAGAGGCAGCTAACGGGATTGGTTGGCCAGGCTCACTGATTTGGTTGATGCATGTCACCATGTCTCAACTTGGGAACGATGCTCATGATGTCAATCACTGGATTGGCTTGTCGAGACTTAATGCACGCACGCCGTAGAAATTCTGGTTTTAGAATAGGACCTTTGCTGGTTGTTAGAGGTGTCCAAATGGATCATGTTGTCAGACTTGATTTGGTTTATGGAATGTCATCGTATCCCATATTGTGGAATGATATTTGTTATTTAAAGGTTGTAGACATATAACTGGAATATTACTGAGTGTGGCGCTAACCAGCCAACCAACAAGATGTTGTTTGAATTTCAGTTGAAGACCCCTCTGAGAACTTTCAGAGATTGCGTGACTTTGTTGATGTCAAGAACTGCATGGAGCTGACCAGCTTTGAGCCAGACAGGTTGTATCTTGGATTCTCAGAGGACATGGTGATTGAGGCGCAGAAGAAACTCAAACTCTCTCGGGTGAGCAGTCTTAATTCAAGAGTCAGTGAGTTTCAAATGATTTGAAACATGATCCATCAGGTTTACTAAGATCGAAAAACATGTGAAGGTCCGGGTGATCTTCAGCAACCCATGCTTGTCATAAGGATGGGATGGGGTGGTCAGGCTCACTGACTTGGTTGATGCATGTCATTGTATCCCATTTGCATACATCAGTGCTCATGGTGCCAACCATTTGATTGTCTGGTCCAGACTCGATTATTTACATACCACCGTCATACAGCTGGCGGCATTTAACAACAAATAAACAAAACAAAATTAATGCTGAACATCAGGCAGGGTAACGATAAGTACCATATATTGCTTAGTTCATCATTAGTAATTGTTATAAAGTCATGTGTTTCGGCTGCAGCGTCAGACACGGCGAGTATACGAGATGCTGCGACTCCGAGCCACGGACCCAAGTAACACAGAGATGTACAGACAGTACAGGCTGGACATCAAGAGGCGACTCAATGCACCCTTCCAGGTAAAGTTCTTGCCATGAAGCACAGTGATGGATCCTTGTACAGCAGGACTAAACATGAATCCACTTTAATCATCAGGGCCCACTTGCACAAAGCGATATTAGCACTACGACTATTGTAAGCCTATGTTAAAGTATGGGAGTTATGATCATCTTAGCGCTAAGATCGCTTTGTGCAAGTGGGTCCAGGTCTTTGAAAGGCATAAGTGATACACATAAGAAAAAGAAATACACATAAGGAAGAGAAATTTATGGATGTCAAATTCTTTATTATAAGGAACACAATGTTTCGGAGTATATGCTTAGTCCTTCATCAGGTGAATGAATGCTATGAGTCAGAGAGCATTTATATGTTCATGTAAGAAAAAGTAAAGTAATAAGGGAGCCAACAGATAAAGTAATTGGCACTGATAGGTGATTAGTAATAGACAATGGAAGCCAGCACTTTACAGTAATTAGCGCTGATAGTTATGGGCAACTGGAAGTCAGGACTGTTCCTCATAATTAAGAAGTTGACATCCATAAATTTCTCTTCACTATAATCATGTTTAGCAAACAGCCTGTGAGATAATTGCCCCATTCTTAAAAAGAATCAACTTTTCTGTGTATTCCAATCTTATTCTCACCAGTAGGTTTTTGGGTCAGAGGTGACTCAGTTGTCTGAGGCTCCTCAATGGATCTGCAGAGATTGTGGGTTTGATTCCTAGATTTTCTCTGAATGCGATTCTTGTTAACACCCACCATGCTCATTGTAACATACATGTTTCATACCCTCTCACTCACTCGCCTTCTCATTCATCCACCCACCCTCTCATTCACCCACCCTCTCTTTCATCAACCCACCCTCTCATTCATCCACCCACCCTCTCATTCACCCACCCTCTCTTTCATCCACCCACCCTCTCATTCATCCACCCACCCTCTCATTCACTCACCCACCCACCCTCTCACTCACTCACCTTCTCATTCATCCACCCACCCTCTCACTCACTCACCTTCTCATTCATCCACCCACCCTCTCACTCACCTTCTCATTCATCCACCCACCCTCTCACTCACCTTCTCATTCATCCACCCACCCTCTCACTCACTCACCTCATTCATCCACCAACCCTCTCACTCACCCACCCTCTCATTCACCCACCCACCCTCTCATTCATCCACCCACCCTCTCAATCACTCACCTTCTCATTCATCCACCCACCCTCTCAATCACTCACCTTCTCATTCATCCACCCACCCTCCCACTCACTCACCTTCTCATTCATCCACCCACCCTCTCACTCACTCACCTTCTCATTCATCCACCCACCCTCTCACTCACCCACCCTCTCATTCACCCACCCACCCTCTCATTCATCCACCCACCCTCTCAATCACTCACCTTCTCATTCATCCACCCACCCTCTCAATCACTCACCTTCTCATTCATCCACCCACCCTCTCACTCACTCACCTTCTCATTCATCCACCCACCCTCTCACTCACTCACCTTCTCATTCATCCACCCACCCTCTCACTCACCCACCCTCTCATTCACCCACCCACCCTCTCATTCATCCACCCACCCTCTCACTCACTCACCTTCTCATTCATCCACCCACCCTCTCAATCACTCACCTTCTCATTCATCCACCCACCCTCTCACTCACTCACCTTCTCATTCATCCACCCACCCTCTCACTCACTCACGTTCTCATTCATCCACCCACCCTCTCATTCATCCACCCACCCTCTCATTCATCCACCCACCCTCTCAATCACTCACCTTCTCATTCACCCACCCACCCTCTCACTCACTCACCTTCTCATTCACCCACCCACCCTCTCAATCACTCACCTTCTCATTCATCCACCCACCCTCTCACTCACCCACCCTCTCTTTCATCCACCCACCCTCTCACTCACTCACCCACCCACCCTCTCATTTGACCACCCACCCTCTCATTCACCCAAACCCCTCCTCTCACTCAAACACTCATTCAACCTCTCACTCGAACTCTCACTCACTCACTGTTGCAGAAGAATGGGCGTGACTTCAAGAAGCTGGAGAAAGCTCTGCAGCCCGAGGAGTTGTCCCAGACGCTGAGTTGCATGTCCCTAGAGCAGCGCCACCTGTACCTGGAGAAGACCTTCCAGGACCACGTGGACGTCTACCGCCACATCCTCGACCGAGTCACCACTGCCTCATGACGGTGGAAACACATGCCTCCAGCACACAGTGTCTAACTTATTTGTGGACTCGACCTCTATCAACATTCTTTGTGCAGAATGTGTTGAAATTATTCCACCAGGTGTGATAGAAGTGAACAAGCTGTACAGGGACGAAGGTGTTGGTGGCTGCTCATGGACTGTCAAGTGGCAGGGGGTGGTGAATGGCAAGTCCATTTAAACAGTGTCAGGACAGAGTACAGTTATTATTATTTTCTGACATGGAATTATTTTTGTAGACATCTTTGTAGAAAGGCAAGGAGAGGCGACTGTACATTTTGTGACCAATTAAATCCAGAAATGTTACAAAATATGAATTCTCGCAGACATTCTCAAGGGTTCCCTGTTCTAAGGAATGTTAAGAGTGCTCCCACTGTTAATCACTAGGGCTGTGTATTGACCTGGATTTTGTATTGCAATATATTGCCATACTTTAACCTGTATTGCAATATATTACCAATTTACATTTCCATGAGTTAATCAGAGTTATACCCTGTAATGTCAGATACCATCAGTCAGTTATATGCATGTACTCTAGGGAGCTCTGCGAACAGGCTATCGTTGTGAAGAGCTTGATAAACGCGATGTGTGCACGCTAATTGATAAAAAGATCGTCACAGGCAAGTTGTATCAGAAAGATACTATTTCCCATCTCCATATTGATTAGGAACACATAAATATACTTATTTATGTTTGCCCCAATATATTGCTACATTTACAAACGTATTGCAATAGGTATTGCTGAAGATTTGCACCACAATATACTGGTGTATGGGTAATACCACACACCCATGATCACCTATGAATGTTCAGAATGCTCCCACTGTTAATCTCCCATAAATGTCCAGACTGCTCCCACTGTTAATCTCCCATAAATGTCCAGACTGCTCCCACTGTTAATCTCCCATAAATGTCCAGACTGCTCCCACTGTTAATTTACCATAAATGTTCAGACTGCTCCAACTGTTAATCTCCCAATCTTTATACATGAGCATATTCCGACAACAGTTGGAGCACTGGGGTCCTGTTTACTGGGACAGGTCTGCAGCTCAGGTGACTATGTAACGTTCAGTACCATTGGTGGTACTTTTTGCTCTGCCTTTTCTGAATAACTTATTATGACATCACCAGTACCACAGGGCAGTTTGTTGGAGGATTGTTTAATTATTGGTCAGCTGGACTTGAGTCTGAGTCTTCAAATCGCACAAACTTTACTGCTGTTTACTGATAGCCTTGTGCATAGTTGGCTTAAGACTCTTTGATGTATATCTTTGTGTATATATGTCCATATGTTCAAATAAATCCATTTGGATAAAGTACTAACAAGGCTTGTGTTATTGGTCATGAAATTTAGAGTGATGTTAACAGAAGATTTGATACCCCTAGGTTTCATTTGACATGAAACATGCAAGCCTTGTGTTTCCAATGAGTTTGGCCATATTTAAATCTAAACAATTGAGGGCATTTGCATGATAAAGTTTTGTGTGACTTTGTCATACTTAATAGATCAGTTCTGTGAACATATTCCACTCCATGGAGGCCACCCTGAAACGGGTGAACTCTATGAAATGTTTGAAATGATCTACACCACACCTCAGGGTTTACAATTTTCACACAAGATCGAAATTGTACTAGGAGTGGAGCAGAAAAAAAGCAATATTTCCAAATGATCATACAAGAACCAAGGTTTGCATGGCTGGTGGCCATGATAAATAAAGGAAAAACGTTTGCCACCCATATTCCAAAATGGCAGCCCATTTTCCTTTCAAAAGTCCATATTTTGCCTCTAACCGTTAATCAGATGTTGAATGTCAGTGTATAATTCTGCTAGCTATCATACTGTGTCGGATTCTCTCATGTTATATTCCCAATTATTCTGGAAACCCAATACGTCAGCCACAATTCCTTCAATGGGTATGTAAGATATAGGTCAATGTTGACATGCTATTTCCTTTGTATTCATTCATGTGAATGTATCCATCATCATGAATGATTTAGACATCTTGACACAAGTAATGTCCATATATCCACATCAGCAATAAACGCTGGAGCCACCAGCTTGCAGACAAAATCATCTAGCATTACTTCAAAGTTATTGTTCCTGACGAAGGATCCTGCGGATGTCATCATTCATCATGAAGAGCTGCGTATTCTATGGTACGCATGGTTGGTGTAAACATCTTACCTCACATATGCTGAATTGATTGACATTGATGGTTTATGACAGTACAGCTGCTGAACAAAAGTTTGTTTAACTCAGTCATCACGCTTTGTTTTCAAAATATAACTGACCGCATCCGTGGTTTAGTGGGGAGCATCCACCAGGAGAGCGGAAGGTCAGGGGTTTGATCCCCGGCCGCGTCATACGAAAAGAGGTTAAAACTTGTTGTAACGCTGCCTAGCACTCGCCATTCGCGGGCTAAAACAAGGGCTCAGAGTATACAGTATGCTGTGTCTGAGTGGGGTATTCATGTTAAATTGCGGTATGGTATCTCAGTGTGCTAGCACTATAACTCGGCATCAGTCCCGAATAGTACAAGCAGCCGCGAGCACGCACGCACACACACACACATGTCGCTATATATGTGCAATAATCTTGGACGCGACGTTAAACCACATTTCATCTCAATATGACTGGAACGAACGAAATATAACTGCACTATAGCTTCAGAGAATAGTACACCAAAGTTGCCACGTTAGGACTGAGTCCTTCCACCATTGGCATGCAATACTGCCTAGATTTATGGGCATACTGTCGTACAATGTTTGGTGGGTGCAATTTGTGAGGGAACGCCAGTGTTTCTTTACTGATTTTATGAGTTCTTAATATTATCCCCTGACATTCTTGCCATAAAAGGCGACTATGCTTGTCGTAAGAGGCGACTAACGGGATCGGGTGGTCAGACTCGCTGACTTGGTTGAATCATGCCTCGATCCCAATTGCGTGGATCGATGCTCGTGATATCAATCTCTGGATTATCTGGTCCAGACTCGATTATTTACAGACCGCCGTCATAGAGCTGGAATATTGTTGAGTGCGGCGTAAAACAACAAACCAAAAGGCATATTCCCTGCAATTTTTATTCCAATAATATCCGACAGGGAGTCACTGGGAATCTCTAAGGGAATCTCCGGGACAATCAAGCTGTTTCAACTGTTGATAACCAGTTATCCACGAGTTGAGCGTGAATTATGAGAGTGGGAATCTTACTGAAAATTGAAATCTCCGAGAAATCTTAAGTTTGATATCAATGATACTAAATTGCTGATATATTTCGCTATTAAGTGAACCCGGCACTTTCTTCTGAATTCCTGGACCATTAGACGACATCATCCCCCAAACGTGAACCTAGGATGGGTGTACTACAGTAGGCTGTGTGAAAAACGCCTGACATTCATTTTCCTACGGTTACTGAAACATCTGAAGATCGACTCGTCTTCCAACGGAATCGGGGAACACGGGTGGCCAAGTCGTCTTAGGCGCCGCGATTCGCTGTGCAGAGTTGCGTCCCTTGGGAACGCCAGAAACCTATGAATGTGGGTTCGAATCCCGGTACGCCCCGATGTTTCTAGGTTTGTCAGCACTATACCCGTGATCGTGGGTTTCACCGAAGTGGTAAACGCCAGAGACCTGCATCACTTCGGGCTTTCCTCCCGTATTAAGCTGACACACCGTGTTATAACTGGAATAATGTTAAAAGCGGCGTTAAACCCAACTCACTCACTCACTCACTCCAACAGAACCTTGTTCCAATCCTGCACCCGCAATTGTTTTGCCTTATAACATCGGATGCCAAATTGATGTAGTCTCCGAGAGATGGGCATGTGACTAAATACGACTATTGTGCTGGGTAATCGACTACGCAGAATGTTGAGTCCCGTGATTATTCCGAGTAACAATTCAGCAACTTCAGCAACACATGCTAGTCCTTAGAGGCGACTTATGGAATCGGGTGGTCAGGCTCGCTGACTTGGTTGATGCATGTCAACGCATGTCCGTTGCGTATAGATCGATGCTAATGTCAGTCTCTGGGTTGTCTGGTCCTTATTGGGTTATATACAGACCGCCGTCATATAGCTGTAATATTGCTGATAGCGGCATTAAACAACAAACAGACAGACAAACAAACAAACAAACCATCTGAAGACTTACGTCAGAAGCAGTAACAGTGAATGAGCTACATTGTGGCATTTGTAACCTGTATAACATGTCATGTCACGTGAGCAACAGGATCGATGTTTAAAATACCTTGACACCAAGAGGTGTTTTGGACGCTAGTCGGAAGTGATGGCTAGAGTTGACGCCGATGCGATACTATATGACAGACAGAATTCTCTCCCTTTATTCAATTTCAATTTTCAAACCGAGAAAAAAACAATCTCATTAAAATCAGATCTTAGTTCTCGCTGTCGCTAAACAAAGCTGACGGGACTTTTTACTTGTTTGGAAATCAGATCAATCCGGCCTAATCGAAACATTTCAGTGCTGTTTCCATATTATTTGCGAAATATAAAGATATGCTACCACGACCGCGATATTGATGAGTAACTCAATATATACCTCTATACACCCTGCAACATCAACATGACCGTATCGTTAGCTATTCGTTGGGCTTTCATGATTGCACGTTTATTCGTACAGATTTTGTAAAGAAAGGATAAATACACAAGTGTAATTAATTTATTTTCACGTTTTGGGCTTCTTCTTTTTTGACATTAACCATTTCATCACGTGCTCATCTAAATTTGGAGACCTTGTACAATTTATATAAACTGACGGCCAAAAGAAACGTTACCAACATTAACTGATTTGCCACTTTGAAACAAAGATGCCAACATGTTCAAAAACAGTAACAGTAACACATCTCACGAATACAGCCTTCATGTTCTCTGTCGTTTTCCCCCGTGCTTTGCGGATTTTGGGAGATATTGGTGTTTTTCAGCAATTTTTTAAAACTCTCTTTCCCAAATTATTGTGCAATTTCCGGGTATAAATTACGCACGGATCTGTTCCCTATCAGTGGTTGCGATGATTAACACCAACGAACATGCCAAGACTGACCGCTGTCCAGAGGGAGAGAGCCATAGGTATGCTGCAGCTGGGAGCGACACAGAGAGCGGTTGCCATTAACATGAACTGCTCCAAGATGACCATTACCAGACTGGTCGCACGCCTCCGACAGACTGGCAGAACCGCAGACAGACCACGGAGTGGCAGACCAAAGGTCACGACCCCGCAGGATGACCGCTATTTACGGGTACTTCATCTGAGGAACAGATTTCTTACTGTGACGTCATCAGTTGCCAACAGCTTAGGACATCCGGTCAGCAGACAAACAGTGGCCAGACGACTACGACATTATGATCTCCGGGCTTATCGCCCTTTCAAGGGCATGACCTTGAACCGTCAACATCGACGTGCCAGATTGACGTGTTGCAAGCAAACTCAGCGATGGCAACAAAGGGAATGGCGGCGAGTGCTGTTTAGTGACGAGAGCAGGTTCCAACTCTTCAAACCTGATGGGTGGACGCGAGTTTATCGAAGACGTGGTGAACGTACGGCTCCTTGTTGTGTCCAGGAGGTGGAACTTTACGGGGGCGGAAGTGTGATGGTCTGGGGCGGCATTTGCGGGGACGAGAAGACGGAACTTGTCATCATCGAAGGCAATCTGACAGCACAACGCTACATTGACAATATCTATTTTGAATTTAAGGAACCCTGATTTAAGAGACCGTATAAATCAAGTACTTTTCTCCTCGAACTTGGAAGGAGCTAACAAAATACTTACGCCTTTGAAGCTTTCAAAAAGTGTATTTTTAGCAGACGTAAACCTACTTCAACATAAACACATTGACATAGAGAGGCTTGATTTCGCTTAAAGTTTGTTTGTTGTTTGACGCCGCACTCACCAATACGCGAAATCTTCAAGTTCCTATTTAATATGGGAAAATGGTTGTGAAAACGGTTGGCTGCTATGGTTCCATTGTAATGGGCTTTAATTGTTTCAAAATGACCCTAACCAGAGTTAAGGGCAGTGAACTCTTAATCCACAGCGCTCAAACGCACCGACGTTGAAGTAAGTGTGGGATGGATGCGCACGAAATGCACGTGCTTTTTATGCCGCAAAAACTGTCCGTGAAGATGTTGTCTTTAAAAGCCACGAAAGTGTCACTGTGAATCATTCACTCATCAACGTCAGTGACAATGCCACGACTGTCACAGATCGATCGAGAGAGAGCTATTGGGCAACTTCAAGCGTGTGAGAGTGTTCAGAGAGTTGCAAACACCTTTAACGTCCACGTTTCCACCATCTACAGTCTGC